CTTGGAGGGTGCCTCCAAGGAGTGGACGTAGGTCAGGGTTTGACCGAACCACTATAAATCCGGTGTGTTCTTTCTTATTATTGCTTCCGCATTATTTAATTTCCGCACTTTGATTTCTGTGGTGATTTTGGTTTGAGTTTTATCTTTGGTTTTAAAGTTATTCAATTCACCTCTTTTCTTTGTTAGCCTTGGGCCAGTTCATAAGGGCTTAAGATCCCTAACGATCTTTCAGTAAGATCTATGATGGGTATCCTCTTGGCCACAAGGAGAAAATACCCTTCTTTCTATCCCTTAGTCTTAGAGCCTAGGTAGCCATACATCCTTGGTATGTACCATCTCGCAAGTAACATAAGTTCAGTTTGAGTTTGTCCCTTATATTTTCATCTCATTTGTTAGCATAGAACTAGATCCATGCCCTTAATTTATGAGATAACAAAGAATAAGATAGCCTATATATTGTTAATTACTAATAATGATTCTCACGTCATTAAATGACTAATCATATCACTGGTCCTGATGACCTAGAATGATGGAATCATATAATCTTAATTGGGTTCATTATCCCACTTGATATGTTAGTCCCCACTTTCTTATATCACTTCATCTCTTTTGCAGCCTCTTGCATTGCGAGGTTTTCATTTCGTAGTAACTTTTGATGGCTATTATTTAGGGACATTTTAATGATCTAGACTTATCTGATATTTTAAAATGTGTGACCTATCACCTTTGGAGTCTTTCATTCTTGAGTTTTTCCCTTGAGTGTCCCCATGCCAAGAAAAAAATTATTACAAAAATTTATGAGTTCTCTTCAGGAAGATTTTTTCACCTCTAGGATTTAGGATTCTTTAACTACATTTCTATGATTGTGTCATTCATTTTTCCTATAAATACATCTGCACCCTCCACAAACACATCCAGATATTCTATGATTCCCACATAACTTTACCTAGATTGAGGTTCAATATTCTTTAAGCCTAAAGTCTTGTTGGTTTGTCTCATTCTTATATATTAGATAATATTTTATACATGCTCAAAAGATTCTATGAGATTTGATTACGCATAAATCATAAAATTAGTGAATAATTTATTTCACTCTCTAGACCTTCCAACTCTAAAAGTTTGATGCATAATCAAATTATTTTGAATTTTCATGAAATTTAAATTCATACTATTTTTCATGAATTTAAGGTGAATGATGTCGATTTACTAATTGAATGGCGCGTGATTAAAAAACAAAAAATTAAAAAAAAAAAAATTATGATAAAATATCTCAATTCATATAAAAGAATATAATCTATCCTCTAATTTTCTTATTTATAGATCTAAGTTTGTATATATTATGACCTGTAATTATAAGAACAAAATCATTCATTCTCTAAATATATATTATTTCGAGCATTAGAAATATATTTTTTCAATTACCATATTATGAGTGAAATATTATATTTCTAAGTAACATATTTTATTTTTGAATGAAAGGTCTTACTTTATATATATGTAATACATCTTTCTTACATGCATTACAAATGAAAAGATGGTTATTTTATTTTAATTTGCTCAGCAAATATAAACAATATCATCATTAAAGTTTTGTTTGGGATAACTTTATTACTATTTTCAAAAACAATTTTTTTAGTACAAAAATTTTTTTAACTAAAAAACCGTTTTAAAAAGCATTAAAAAAACTGTTCCAAACGAAATCTAAGAGCCATTAGTAAAGTTTACTATCTGCATTTACCTATCAAGTTAGAATATACACATCTCTCCATCCAGGTGCATACAATAATGGCCTCAAACCTGCACACATCAAGTGAACCAAAATGAATAAACTGAAAAGGATTCAATTTTTTGTAATAATAATAAATGGAAATAATAACAGTTTGATTAACATAATGAAACAATTACCAGAAAAGAAACAAGTCTTTAACAGCACATGTTGGAATGTAAACAGCTTTGATTGCTACTGTTGGTCTTGATGAAAGGTTTATATATTTTTATGGGGATAAATTTCAAAACAGTCTCTCAACTATTTCATATATGATCAATTTAATCTCAGAGTATCACCTTGCTTTAATTTAGTTCATTGACTATACAAAATTGATCCAAAAGAAATCTTTTGGGGCTAAATTTGAATCAATTTTGTATAGTTGAGGGGCTAAAATGAGATTAATTTAATATCATAATTGTAACATGAGCGATCGTTTTGGATCAATTTTCGTATAGTCGAGGGACTAAGTTAGAGCAATGTGATATTTTAGGACTAAATTGGCTGCACGCCCAATGGTCTGGAGACTATTTTAAGTTTTTTTTTTTTTTTGTTGGCATTTTTATGAACTGAATTGAGAAAAAAAAAACTATAGAATTCCATGAGAAGGTTCTGAATTTGCAAAAATTGACTCCATATGAAGACAAATATCTGTAGACTTCCAAAACTTAATTCCAAACACTCACATGTAAGAAAAGTGATTCTAAGCACTTTTAAGAACACGGTAAGAAATATTTTTAGGTAAGACTTTAATTTATACTGGTTCATCCCACTCTATTTGAACTTGTAGTGCAAGATGAATCCCATGAGAGGTCAGCATATCAAGAAGAAAATCATCACCTGAATTGAGAACGTAAAGCTTCATTCTTTCCAAGAATAAGGAGCTCGATCAACAACTAAGTAATCGCCTCGAATGTCCTTGGCAACTCTAATCTCTTCGTCCATATATACAGATTCAAACCTACAAATAAAACAAAATCCTGTTAAACATTCTCAATAACAGAAACAACATGCAGTTCATAAAACCAAAGTTTTCAGACTAGCCTTAATCAAAATTTCTCTCCTGTTATCAGGAGGGGTAATTAACTATAGGGGCTTGCGCCTGTAGGAAACCTGAACTCAGATTATAAAGTCCTCGCAAAATGAAGGTGAAATCTCTGGGTGATGTCTTATTCACAACCCAATCTGCCTTCTAAAAATGTCTTGGAACAAAGAAAAAAAAGGGGCTGTAGAGAGGCTAGGGCACAAATTTTCAGAGCTCACAACTTCTAAAGGTGATAGAGCACGGTTCTATATTAAAAAAAAAAAAAAAGCAACTTCAAATGTTAAATGTAAAGTGCCCATTAACAATTATAAGCTAACATGGTGAAAAAAAAAGATACTAAAGGCTCGTTTCCATAAAGATTGGAAAAAACTTGTTAATTATTTTTTAATGTTTAAAATATTATAAATTGATTTTCTGTTCATCTCCCATTACATGATTTATTTCTATCCTAGAACGCACAGGTTGCGTGATAATTCCAGTCTCCTTGTGCTGCTTGTTGCTGGACACGTTTATTTATCTACAGCTAAGGATTTCAAATGGCTCTTATTGATTGGTAACTTCACATGACCTCCCGTATAATCCTTTTTTTTTTCTTTTGCTTTTCAAACATCTTTTTAAGCCATTACTTAACGTTTCCTTTAACTGATACTTAATAATTCTTTCAAGGTGCAATGGAATAGCCTTAAATGATTCAATAAGTTCCAATCACGTTATAATTGACCGTTCGAGGGATTACACAACATCAATATTAGCAAGTAACAAGAAAGTTCAACAGCAAGTCATTGACCAATATTATTGTTTTTCATGGTATCAGAGCTTCGCGTCTGAGAACGAATTTTTTTTTTTCGTTTTGCTATCGTCATTTTCTCTTACAAATGGCCGGATCATCGACTTCTCCTCCCACGGTGGATTCCACTACAACAGTTTCTCAGATCAGTTTTTCTCCCCAACTCAAATTCTTGATAAGCAACATCAAGAATCTTGTCTCAAATTCTCTAACAGCCACCAACTATCCGATTTGGAGATCTCAGGTGCTTAAGATCTTCAGTGCAAATGGATTTAAGGGATTCTTGGACGGATCGACCCCTGCTCCTAACTCCTCAGCTGTCTGTTCTTCAAATGCGGATGATCTAGTTCAAGCTCAATGGGATCTGACGGATCAAAACCTAGCGGCTGCTTTATATTCGGTAATTTCACCGACTATTCTTCCGTATGTGCTCTCTCATTAACCCATACTGCAGAAATATGGGAGACACTCGAGCTTCGGTTACAATCCACGACAAGATCTCGTGTCATTCAATTGAAAAATGATTTACATCATCTGGTTAAGGGTGCTAAATCAATGACCAATTACCTTCTGGAAATAAAATCAAAAGTCGATATGATTGCTGCCGCCGGTAGTAATATCGACCCAGAAGATGTTATAATATACACACTCAACGGGCTTCCGGCGACTTACCAAGCGTTCAAGACAACTATCAGGACAAATCTGCAGCCCATAAGCCTCGACGATCTGTATTGTCTTTTGTGTACAGAAGAACAGAGCATTCTTCAAGATTCAACCAAAGATCTTCAAAATCTTCAGTTAACTGATCCTACCATGGCACTAGCTGCTTACCGAGGTCGAGGTCGAGGTCGGAATAATGCAGATCGTGGACGACGTGGTCGTGGACCGCGATCCTCACAACCACGTACAGACAAGTCATCAGCAAGAACAACTGTTTGTCAAATATGTATGAAAACAGGGCATTCTGCTATTAAGTGCTGGTATCGAGCAGATTTTTCGTACAATGAAGATTCACAGAAAACTGCCTTGTTCGGTTCATCTGAAATGCCAAATCATGCTGACTGGTACCTTGATAGCGGGGCATCTACTCACCTAACAGCTGATCCAAATCATCTTTCCACCACTGATCCTTATACGGGTTCAGCTCAGGTTGTTCTCGGTAATGGACAAAAGATACCAATCCAACATACAGGCAAAGGAATTCTTCCCACGCCTTCAGGTAAACTTATTCTTCAAAACATACACCATGTGCCAAATCTCTCTTTTAATCTCCTTTCAGTCCATCAGTTAACTCACGACAATAATTGTATTGTTTCTTTCTCCTCCAATGGATACCAAATAAAGGATATGAAGAGCAATCGTCTACTTCTTCACGGTCCATGCCATAATGGACTATACTCGATTCGTTCAACTAAACCACCAGATCTTGCACTTCTTTCTATCCAAACCGTGCCTAATCTGTGGCATTCCAGGCTCGGGCATCCAGCCGCAGCTACTCTGAATCGCTTGTCTGTTAGTAACAGCCATATACATAATAAATCACATAGTCATTTGTGTACCACATGTCAGTTAGCTAAGAGTAAGCAATTGTCTTTCCCTACTTCCGTAACCACCACAACTAGACTGTTTGAATTAGTGCATTCAGATGTATGGGGTAATTCCCACACTACATCAATACAAGGTTATCATTACTTTGTCACCTTCATTGATGACTATTCACGTTTTTGTTGGGTTTTTCCGCTTACTCAAAAATCTGAAGTTTTCCATGTTTTTTGTAAATTTTCATAAGTTTGTCAAATGCCATTTCAAAGCCAATATCTGTACTATCCGTACAGATGGAGGTGGAGAATACCTAAACAATAATTTCAAACTTTATTGCAAAACTTGGGGAATTCTTCATCAATACACTTGTCCTTACACACCCGCTTAGAATGGTGTTGCTGAACGTAAGAATCGCCATATTCTAGAAACCATTCGAAGCTTTTTGATCCATTCCAATGCACCTCATACTCTTTGGGTTGAAGCTCTACATACGGCTATCCATGTTATAAATCGTCTACCTACAGTTACCATTCAATACAAAACCCCATTTGAAATGCTCTATCAAAAGCCACCATCTTACACCCATCTTAAAACCTTTGGATGCTTATGTTTTCCATGATTGAAACCCTACTCCAAATCCAAACTGTCTCCTCTATCAATTCCGTGTGTTTCTGTAGGTTACGCTTCAAACCAAAAGGGATTCCGATGCCTTGATCCTAACACTCAACGGATGTTTACGTCCAGGCATGTAGTTTTCAATGAAAACAAATTCCCATATCATAAACAATTCCTGCAGACAAATAAGCATAATCATTGTGCTTCAGAAAATCAAATTCCACCATTTCTATTCCTACATAGTTCCTACATCCTCCTTAACCACTGCAGCCAACACTCCAAACAATTCAGCCATTGGTCTACCATCACAGATTGTCCAGACCAATCTAAGCTCTTCAAATACTGAGCCTACACCTTCAGTATCTACACCCAATATATCCCGTCCTACTACTCCTCCAGTTAACAATCCCAAACTTCATCAAATGAAAACCCGCTTACAAACAAGGAATCTCAAACCCAAGCCTATTTTTGACCTCAGTCACCAAATAATCACATCCGATCCTACCTCCTACAAGGAAGCAGTTAAGCATGAACATTGGCGGAAAGCAATGTCACATGAGTTTCAAGCTTTACAATCTCAAGGTACATGGACTTTAGTTCCTCCAACAGACGACCAAAACATTATTGGTTGTAAATGGACCTACCTGTGACGCCCCAGGCATCCATAGTGAAAGGATTCGTCTGACAGTCTCGATCAATCTCCATTCCTGCTCCCATGCTCGGACCTAAAATTATTAACCACATATAATGAGCTTCAAAAAGCCCAGCAGGTCACACATTGTTGACTCTATTGAGGGAGGAGAGAGATAAGGTATAGTTATACTTGATTGCTTACTTATAACTAGTTTTACTTCATTTTAATGCAAATGCAGATATTCAGCTCTCTCTCTCTCCATCTTATTCCTCTCTCTCTCTCCCTCTCCCCCTCTCTCAGTCTCTCTCTCTCTGTCTATCTCTTTCTCTCTCTCTCACCCTCCCTCACTTTATCCCTCTCTCTCGCTCCCTCTCTTTCTCATTCCTCTCTCTCATACTCTCTTTCTCTTTCACTTTCTCTCTCTCTCTCACATAGCTCTCTCTCTCCCTCTCTCTCTCTCATATTATGACATGGTGGAGGCAACGAGCTAAGGTAAAGTGGATTGAGGAAGGTGATGGTAACACACATTTTTTTTCATTCCATGGCTTCGGCTATGAGGAGAGCCAACTGCAATGATTCCATTAAGCAAGTGGATGGGAAGGTGGTAAATGAGCAAAGGGATATTTCTAATGTTATTTTCAGTTTTTTTTTGGAGTAGAAATGGAAAGGGAAAGATATTGTTGAGGATGGGTGGCCTTCCCTTAAATCACAAAGAAGCTATATGGCACGATTTGCTGGAGCCCTTGATGGGGAAGTCACTAAGGATGAAATTTGGTATGTTGTGAGCTCGTTGGACCACAATAATGCTCCTCGTAGGGATGGGGTCACAACTTCATTTTTCAAATTCTTCTGGGATATTATGGGAGAGCCGTTTTTGAATGCTTGCTTGGAGTTTTTTGCTTCTGAAAATATGGATGCATATTGGAAGGAAACGGTTATAGCGTTATTTCTTAAAGTTATGAATCCAGATCTTCCTTCCATGTTTAGACCTATTAGTTTGTGCCAAATAATATATAAGATTGTTTCAAAGGTGCTTGTTAAAAGGATTAAAGGAGTGTTGCCAAAGTTGATTTCTGAAGAACAAGCAGCGTTTGTCCCGGGGAGATCTATTTCTAATCATTGCTTGCTTGGACAAGAGATGATTCATAAATTTAAAGTGTTAAAATCTACTATGGGCTATTTGGCTCTGAAAGTAGACATGGAACAAGCTTACGATAAGATGAGCTGGAAGACTTTGGAGCTTGTTTTGAGAAGCATGGGATTTCCTCCTAGTTTTTTTTTTTGGGTGCTAAACTGTGTAAAAAATCTGAAGTTCTTTATTCTTATAAATGGACAGCTTACGGAGGTGATTACTGCAGCATGTGGATTCCGCCAAGTTTTCCCTTTGTCACCCGTTTGTTCATCCTGTGTTCTGAGCTGATGTCTGCTCACTTTCATTAGAATTTTAAGGAGTTGGGTATTCCAATCAGTGGTGGGGGACCTCCTATCTCCCTCCTTCTT